AAGACGCTTTGAAAAACGCGTTGTGTACTACAGTCAAACCTCGATATAGTAAAGTCTTGATACAGTGGATTTCGCGCTATAGTAAAGAATTCCTCTGATCCAAAAACAGCAAACAATATTAGTAGATTGCATCTCGATATAATGAAGTTATATAGTAAGTCTCGTTATTAGATATAGTCAAGTTTTTTCTCAAACAATATTAGTTCGATACAAGTAAAATTCGTTAAGACGAAACCATGCTAAGCCGAAATTGCATTAAGCCGAAGCTTTTCTGGTTTACCAAATTTTTATTATAGCGTAAGCCGAAATTTATTAGTAATTTACGTTAAAAGATGAGCCGAAAGTTTTCGATAATAATTTTATCTCGATATACCAAAGTTATCACGTGAATTTGTATTGATTGATTCGTTTCTTGAATGTAATGTCACAAACAATCGTTCGATTGTTTATCTAAGAATCCGGCCGGCAGTTTTGTTTACCGAGTTTGCCTTTTCCAGTTACAGAATTTCGGCCATTACGACAAAACCTAGGCTCAGACCCATCTTATTGACTAAATCGAAGATTGCCCTGAATTGAATTTAAATTATCGTTGTTTGACAATCGTTGGTACTCTTATTTGGATACGAGTAGATCTGAACGCGTTAACTTTTTATGCGCGTATACAAATAATTGATGCCTGAGAATAACTGAAGCGCTCCAGCAAGGTAATAGACCCAAGCATACAAGCCGTCTTGGCAAAGAAATTTTAAAACAAAATAATCAATTGGCTCTCCAATGGTCCAAATTGTATCCAGAAAAGATTTATGGGCATCGTCAAAAGGAATATAGAATTATGAGTATCAAGGAATTTGGCCGAGTTGCAACAATTTATAATGGAAGAGTGGAATGCGATTCTAAATAGTCTTCTAATTAATTTATTTAATATTATAGGAACGACACACCTTTAGGTCGATATATAGCCATTAATAGCTAGATAAACAAATCAAGATCGTCCAAGTAGTCCTAGAAAGAAGGTCCTTTTCATTTTTGTTCCTGTAACCTAAATGCATAGATGATCTGCAACTGACGAAAAGTCTCCTGATACAACAGGTTCCGAATCAAGTGATAATGAACTGACTCTCCTAGAGCTGGTGTTTTCTGTGGGAGTTGACATAATTGAATACGTGCGTGTCGTCTATCTTATTTTTGTGTTCACATTTTTGTTTATTACCTAAAATAGATATCCAATCCAAATTTGGAAAGGGGAATGATTGCACTCTCCGTGATTGTACTTATTATTGTTCAAACGATGTCATTAGTTCCAGGGATTAATAATCCAGCGATTGACAACTTGGTTCAGTCCTCCTTGGAAAGTGAAGATGAAGACTTACGACTTGAATGGATTTCTTGCTCGCGAATCACCGACATAAAACCAACTCAAATTGACAATGTCTACTTCGCTAGTCGTTACAAGATAACGTTGGTATTCCTTGGAAACAGCGGAGAATGTACACAAACACTTGTTAATGAGTTTGCTAGAATATACTCACTTCCGACACACAAGTACAACAATGATGTTAATCAGTTCAGAAGACATTCCGTATGGCTTAGTTATCGCAACGGACTCATAAAAGGATTTACCGAATATGAAAATAAGTATTACATGGTTGCGAGTGAACTCTTTTACAACTGTTATTCCCGATATGGATGCTGCTCTGCATGTGGAATACTCCGATGCAGTCCCGTGTGGTGCGTTTGCGGTCATAAATTATCTGATGGATGGACTAGCAATAATAAGCAACTCGATGAGTTTATTAAGAAATCTCAACTACAAACAAACTCAGCAAATCAACCCTATTTGGAATGGATTCCATTTGATTGTATTTGCGATGGGAAATACATTATATTATTGTATTGTCTACCTACTCGTGCATCTGTTGAATTGATTCCACTTGAGATAACAGATGAAACACATGATTTATATTATGCCGAGGTAAACTAATTACTTATGCGTCATGTTTATTGAATAGTTTAAATAATTATTGACTTATTATTACTTTCACTAGTTATCAATTGAAAATCATGCCACTTTTAACAAATTCAGGCCACAAATCAAGTGCAAATCAGGCCACATAAATCAGGCCACATAAATCGGGCCGTAAAATAAATATATTGATATAAGAGAGAGCATCTTTGCAAGGTCTATTAAATCAACCGTCAGATCTGTTATTACCATTATTTCATCAGCGATAACTTATAAATTCTCTGCACTTTAAGATGGCTAGTTCTGCAAATATCAGTAACACAGATAGACAAGAAAGCAAAGGAGGAATTTATCACTTGAGGATAAAGTAAACATTATTAAAAGAAAAGAAATTGATGTAAAAATAAGTGAATGATAAGTTATATACGTAATATAATTCGACGCTTAGATGATTCAGAGCAAAGCCAAAACGCCAAAACTTTATTAACAGAATTTATTAACCAATAAAATTGCATGCTTTAAATAACGTTGCCTACACATATATACCTCAGTTGTATCCCCACCTCGAAGAAAAAGCTCCGTCCCAAAGTGGGGATATAAACGAGGTAGGGAATTGATAAGGCCATTGTTGCACATGTGTATTGTACGTCACATGACTTTTGCTTATAGTGAATGTTGGCTATGTATGGTGTCGAAATGTACGTAACACCTATAGTGAAATTTCACTACCCGTACACATTGCCTGTACTACCCATGCTGAAATCCGCAGCTGCGCTGGTGTTACCACCCACTGATCGATTTGTGCTGCGGCACGTGCAGAAATAAAGGAGAGAATACTTCACCGTTTATAGCGTAGCGTCACATCATCCTATCCAAGAGCCATCGTATCTGGTGCCTAACGGTAGTTTCAGAAATCAGTCTAAATATTGACAATCATCAATGCTACATCAAAGCTCTTCCAAACGTACACTTTTCTACTTCATGAGCATGTGACACTTTCTTCCTCCGATCTGCTTCTAAATGTTGAATATAAATAATATGCCTGGTCAAATATAAAATGTATTTCAACAAAACGAGGAGGAAAATATTAATCTCTTGATACAATTCATCGTTCTGCTCATTAAGTTGAGCTATTGAAAAAAACTTCAAGTTGGGATTCCTTCGTTTGACATTCTAACAAATATAAACGGGGATACACGTTCCTTTTCGTGAATTCTACTTATTGCCTCTATAGCAACTTCTATTACAAAATTATGCTTTCAAATCACTATTTACTTTGGCCGCTTTCTTCTCTAGAGAACGGAATCGGGTATGGTCTGCTTTACGTAATGGGGTGGGGAGAGGAATCTAATTTACATTGACAAGATACCTTCTCGTTTCGTTGAATTGTGTTGGTGCTTCTTTCTTCAAGTTAACGAAATTACATAATGATTTCGTACAAGTGATGTTGATGGTATACAAAAGTATTCGTTTTTCTGGTAATTACCAAAAAAGGTATGGTTGATTTCTTGATGGGTATTTATTGACTCAAATGAGCAATTAGTGTAACAATTTTCAGTTCAGAATCCAGAACTGAGCATTTGATTGTTGTATTTTATTTCGTCAGTAAACTAGTTTAAACATAGCTAGAATAATTAAATCATAGTGTAAACACAGTCCGAAAAAGTATAGTTTGATTGGGCAATGGGAAAGTGAGGGGTACTCGTTCCAGCTGAGGCGTATGCTAAAAATACAAAAACAATTATTAATTATTTTTTGGAAAGGATCGGCCCATTATTTTTGCAGTAGTAAATATTTATTAATTATCAAATTAATAGACAAACTGCATAAGTATAATAAAAAAGAAAATTGAAGACATGTCAGATTAAATGGTGAAATGTAATGCAGGATATGCTATCGAGGAAGTATGATTTGAATATTTCGATAGAACGATAACACACAGTTTATTAGCATTTTAGTGAAACAGTTTCATGGGAATGAAATATAAGATTGCTTTATTTTCATCACGAGCTAAGTCAAATATAGTACTTGTTTATGTAGATCAATCGTGAGAGAGTGTAAACATTGACTTCGTGCGAAAGCATGCTATCAGACGCTAACAGAAATAAAAGTAACTGTTTTGGGAAAGGATCAGCTCTTCTGCAATTTATTAATTGCAAAACGATAGGATATGATATGGTATTAAGCCCAGCCCAAAGAATATACCATGAACTAACGTAGTAAGTTGGCATTGACAGTGGAAATAGTGTTCTTTCTATACAGTCTAGTAATAAGAATATTTAAGAATGGAATGGAACAATACAGCAAAATAGTTCATATAATTCTGTGACGATAGAAGTGTTGTAACATGCTTATTGAAATCAGTGAATCTACTTACATTGAGAAATGAAGTTCAGAATATGTTTATAGTGTGGAAAGTAAACACATATTTAACATTAATGGACAAACGTTTTCTGGGTTCTTCTTTATATATTTAATTAATTCGTGATATTGTTTCTGATTCCAAGGATTAGGTTCTTTTTCAGTCACTAAATTTCCTCGGGATTCAAGCAACTACAGTAAAGATGAATGGGAACGGTATTAATATGTGAACATGAATATTTTCCAACAGAATTTATATCCATAAAAAAGTTTTAGTGGTGGTGAGTGAGATTTGACGCTCATCTTTTTGTCAAGCGATCCGCGAAATGCGTTGATGTTACACATTGCATGATTTGGAGGAGGCAAGCTGATTCAGATCAAAAATGGGAAAGGTATAAGTCAAGGCGTCTGAAGGAAGGCATTTTCCTTCCCAACGAACAAAAATAGCATATGAGCGTTCAACCCTCTCTATATAGATATATAAAAAATGTCACCCCTTTTTGCTGTCGATTGTAATCGTTACACTTGATTTTTGCACAAACTTAAAAAACTCCCACCGGATACTTTCTTCCGGGGAGTGTATATATAGGTACGCGTGGTTTGCTCATTTCACTAATCGCCACAGGCTGATCTTTCAATTCTTTCACCCTTCTCACTTCTAATAAATTTCTAAAACATGGTGCGAAGAAGAACAAATGTCAGGCCCTTGGACGATTTTATTTTTTTAACGAATAATATAGTCTCACCTCAAGAAGCTATCGGAATATTTGACAATACTACTCCTGAACAATTTCGACAAGCAGCTATAGATTTTGCGGGAAACCCTCCCGAGCAAGAAGTTCTCCAAAAATCCTTTGATCAAGATATCAAAAATCTCATTGATGTCTATAAAACTGCTGAACAAGCGTATAAAGATATTTATACTGAACTTTTGTTGGTTGACAGTTATAAAATTGGGGGCAAGACAATCTGGGCTTCTCGGTGGAAAGATTTATGGATGGCCTTTACAGATCTAATCACACAGTCGAAAACAGAAGCTGCGTCCATATCTGTCTATGCCAAACGTAACGTCAAGGTGCTTTTTCCATATCTGGCTTCCAATGACCATACTTTGGAACAGAAAAATTCACTTATAAATCTGACTCTTAAAGTAAGCCATATACGTCTTTTAAGTAACTTTTTATTGCAATAATCAATTATTAAGCCGACATCTTAAACAGTCTATTAGAGAAAGACAAACCAAAACAACAAAATTTGCCACCGATTTTAGATTACATGAAGCTAAATTCGTAAATTTCAAAGCGGACTTTACTAAGTGGGCTGAGGATAAACAACAAAGTATTAGTAAACGAATTGCAAATACTAAAGCAGATATCAAAGAACTTCAAGCAGACATCGCCAATTTGACTAGAAAAATTGTAGGCCTTGGTATCGGTATCGGTGTTTCAATATTAGCTGCGGTTGCAACCTTCGCTTTAGGCTTTTACTGCCCACTTTTTTTGGATTGGTACAGCCATTTCCGTTGTATCCACGATTGGTTGTTCTGCAGCCCTTTATGATTTGAAGTCTCAGAGAAACGGTAAAAGATTTTTATTGTAATTTTTAGAAATAATATAATTGTATTCACTTATTTCATAAATTATTTTTAGATCTTCATGTTAAGAACGCGCAGGCCATATCCAATGAACTGGCTGCTCAATTAGCAAATTTTCATAAACTTGGTGATTGTTTCACTAGTTTTTGGCAAAATATTACCGGCCAACTTGAAAAATGCCTAGATCAAGAGTCATTACTCCAAGATGAACTCAATTCACCCTTGGGAATTCTCCCAGATGATATTGAGTTTACCACAAGAGTCTGGATCGTGTTGGCTAACTCGCTTGATTTGTATATTCAAGCGTAAATAACAGCTTACTTTGCTTCTTAACATTACCTGTGCTTTTATTATTATTAGAGCTTAGGATAATGAGCAAATCTTCCCCGAGTCTATTTTTTTAACAAAGATTCTAGAGTTTGTGATTTATTAGTTACTATGATGTAATCGTTTGAAAAATTAATCCAACTGGAAGAGGTACCGAGAGACTGATCAAGATCAGAACCCAGACCTTGTTGTTCTCATAGTTACGTAGTTCTACTTGTAATTTCTCGCAGGTCCGCCCATTCAATAATTCTCTTTTCAATGTCAAACGGTCCAAAAATGAGCTACAGTCAATAATGACAGCCGATGTTTATGACCAAACAAGCACTTTATTTAGTTGACAATTATTCATATTATAGCAAGCAATTATATATCTTATAGTTTTATTTCATGGTATTGTCTTATATAAATTATCTATTTGCCTTGACAGTAATTACAGTGCGCGAAAAAATGACGTTTTTATTTATAGTACAACGAAAACGTGTTAACAATTTGCAGGTATACTACCTATGATATGATAAACAAGTTTACTTAAGACCGCTTAATAGTTTAGCTTAGCATGCTACGAGCCAAATTAACAAAGGTCTCGGTTTCGACCCCATCCCATTCTTTCTGAATTATCTCACGAAAAGAATCTTTGGTAATTGCTTTTTTTTTACTAACAGTTTGTTGACTTGTTTCTCTACACAATTCTTTAACTTGCCCATAAATTTTCGATTGGGTTAATATCTGGACTATTAGACGGGCAATCTTAGCTTTACGCTTCGGATCATTATCTTGTTAGAACACCAATTGTTTCCCATAATAGTATTAAGTTAGGATGATGATCATTTAAAGTATTCGAGAGTTCAGTGCTCGTAGAGTATTGTTTGCTGAGACAAACTGGCCAAGATGCCGACGCTATTTAGGGAAAACTTTCTTGGCCTGCCAGATCGGGGCAGTGGGTTTAAAGAAATATTATTTTTAAGTTTTTTTTTGATATATTTGTATACAGTGAAAAGTGGAATAGAAGTTAATTTGTGCAAAGTGTCAGCATTACGCGTACCAGCCTCCCACAAAGAGGTTATTGTCATATAACGTTGATTAAGCGAGGGTTTGGCCATTGTGTGTTGAATGTAAAGTTAATAACGTGTAACAAAAATCAAAACAATGCAGTCGCGTTATCTAACAGGCTTTGTTAACATGTGTTATACAGCTTTTTTTTTAACTGGTGAATATGACAAAGAAAATCGAAATTTATTATGATACATTTTATTCTCATTACTTTTTTCATACACTGTATTTCTCCGTTTCAATGAGCAAATTGCCAGACGACTATGAGATATTGGTTGATAAATTGATATCACAACAAAGAACTTATTTGTGATGAAAAACGACATCGTACAAACGCACCCGGTCATTAACCCCGGATCATCTGGCAATCATGATGCCAAATCGCATAATCTAACCAACAGATCATTATCTCGATCATTAGTCATTAACCGGATCATCCCAAAATAGTGATCATTAGATACTGACATGAGAGTGGATAAGGTTTAGTGGTGAGAGCCAATGAAAGTGGAAAGTGTACGTCATCTTTCTTTCAATAAATTTTTTGAATGTACTTACGAAAAAAGCATACGTACGGAATCAAATAGTGTGTATGTTGTGTCTGAGGTTGGGACCTGTCTCAGTTCGTAACCCAGTCACTCAGTCCAGAACCCAGACACTCGGTCTAGAACTCAGTTGTCCCACTGAGATAACATGTACACATCAAATAATAAATAACTGATCGTCGTCTATCTCTAAAAAATTACGGTAAACTTCTTTAGTTGAATTCAATATTTTTATGTATAATAGGTATGTATAATAATAAATAGACAGCTAATTTTAATTATTAAGAAGCGAAAGGTAAATAAAGACTATAATGACCCTATATATTATATTATTATTACTATTACTATACTATTACTACTATTACGAGACTACTTACTACTATTACTAATAATAATAATACCAAGCATAGCATATTGTTCGATTCTCATGGAAATAAGTAATACACGCTATTACTAATAGTGTGTATGCAAATGTTATTAATATGGCGTGTGCAATATAGAGATTTGCGAACAAAAAAATTTATTACTAGGTCCGGTTTATTTCACCGACAACTGTCAGTGAAATGTACTGTCGGTGAAATAAATGCCTCCCGTTTTATATCACTATATCACTATCGCTATATCACTATATCACTATATCACGATGGAACCGCTCGAACTCCGTTCTCCATATGCAAAATTTGGGCGCAGAAGTTCTTTATCTAGGTATCGTATAACGAGGTATGACTGTGTTACGTATTACACGGAGTACTTACATATGCGATCATCGTATTGTGGCTGTATTGCAGTGTTAAGCGATCGATTCTCCCCCAAAGTATGTCTCAAGGTCAATCGCCAAACAGCACGTATGAGTGGTTAGCTAAGAGTATCCGGGAAGGTTTTATCAAACACTATTCGAAAGATGACATCGTAGATCGTACACTTATCGGTCGTGGTAGATACAAGGCCAAGATAAAGCATTCTGGAAACCCAATCGAAATGAAAGCCTTGTTACTAAATCGACATGGATGTGAAGAATCACATAAAAACTTTGTCAAAGAGGTTGTCAATGGTTACCTATTTTTTAATCGTTGCATAACGATGGTTTTAAGAGCTGTATGAACTGAATTATTTTACAATCCATAACATAATAGCTGAGAACTCATAAACAGGATGATCATCCAAACATTATTCGATTCCTAGGAATATCTCAAGGTAATGTTAGATGTATGTCATGATTTTCTGTATATAAGTGATTGTAATATATAATTTATTCTACTCTATAACATAAAACAGATTCATTTGGTCCCTATTATATGGTGACTGACTATGCAGATGGTGGGACTTTATGTGAACACTTGCAGAAACACTTCTCTGAGCTGACATGGAAGGACAAATACAAACTGGCTTTGGGAGTTACTGATGGGCTGATGTATTTACACAAACTCAAAATAGTTCACAAGGGCTTGGTATGTATTAATGATACACAGGATGGGCATATAGTATGTATGGAATCATAATTTAATATATTAATTGTTACTATTATATAGTCTTCCACAAATATTCTTATCCAAGAAGGCATCACAAAAATAACAGACTTTGGATTGTCTAGTACTCTCAAACATACTATGTCCACATCAAAAGGTGAAAGAAATATGGCATATATTGATCCATTATCTTTTAAAAACAAATCTTATAAATATGGAAACGATCAGACATTTTCAGTCTTGGGGTGATACTTTGGGAGATTTCAAGTGGAAAACTTCCATGTGAAGGGGCTACCACAA